ATGCTAAATAACACGTAAATTTGCAGACTGTGTAGTCATACTGCCCCTGCTGGAGTCTACAGATCTATGACTTATTTTAATTAGGTTTCCTATGTCATCATTCCAGTGTGATTACAACCTACAATTTTATAAACTAACAAAATAGATTTGCCACTAAAACTTTATTATTAAAAATATATATTAAATATAAACTGACATTAAACCAACCGTTGTAAGACTTTCCTATAATTTTCTATTTGTATCTGTCTTATTAAATTCTGCTAACTCAGAGGAGCATCTCAACTGAGAAGTACCAGTGACACTCTTAGAGCATCTTAATGGAGCTGCTGACTTTGGGAACTTCCAGCTCCTCAGTCTATATTCATCATGTAGGGTCAGTGCACACACTTGACATTCTAGCTCCATTAAGGTTCTGCTTTGTCAGGACTGCATACTGTAGGTCAATGAGCCGGAGCGCCATTTATCTACATAAGGAAAAAAAAAACGGAGAACATCATATCTCAGCCTTGGTGTGTTCATAAGTGTGTGAGATTTTTAAGGTACAGAGCGGTTGTTCCAGTGACTGTGTTTGACGACTGTCAGGACAGACGGTGCCAGATGGTCCAGTGGTCAGGATACAAATAGTCTTGGTCTGGTTTTCTAAAAGTGATATTTCCGCATGATCTGTGTTTGGGGAAAAAAACTTTTCTTGCAAGAATTGAATCATTAAATCAAACAGAATGATTTTGATTCATGTTCTGTGTAAGTGATGGTACATGTACCGCATTTTGAGAACCCCTGGAGTAGAGAAAAAATAAATAAATGATAAAAAAGTTATGTTTATTTTTTTCTTGATTTCATAAATTTAATTATTTGAACAACATACTTAAAAAAACAGATCAGATTAGGATCAGAGGGAGCCCAAGTGCCACCAATGCTACACGTACCACATATTGAGAACCACTGCAGTAGACAATACAAGAAAAGGTGCGATAACGTGTTTTCTTATTCACTCTTTTGTATTGTCTTTTGTATGTTGTTCTTAAGATTATCATTTTTAAATGCCTTAATTGTTCTGGTTTGCACTTCTGGGCCACCGTAGCAATGCAATGAATCAGTCTCTCCATAGAAACGGAGGCGTGAAGCTGTAAAGCGGACCGCGGCATCCAAGCCTCAGCTCCACTGACTCCCCCACGGTCGCTGAAGACTCCAACTGCAGCTGGTGATCGCCTCCTATTCTGTGGAGGAGTGGTGGTGGTCATGGCAGCCTCCGACTCTGGCCACGGGCCATCATTGACACCACCTCCCCTCCCTCCTTCAGCTCGCTCTTGACGTTCGGTTCGGGCGCAATGCTGTGTGTCTCTGCTTGATTTCCCAGCTCTGTTTTTGGACCGGATCGTCCCAGTCGGTTTGCAGCGAAGACTCGTTCTCAGTCGGTGCTCGGCGGATCCGGTGGATGAAGCTCAGACATGTCATCTGTCTCTGCTGCTTCACTGTCTTGACTGAATCGAAGTTGCTGCAATGGAGACTTCGGGGAGTGATGATGCAGCGCTCACATACTTGATGAAAGCTGCAGACAGGGACGGATATGACGATCTGGATCATCTGCCTCCGTTACTGGAGGATGAGGTGAGACGGTGCCTGGTCGTGACTTGACTTCATTCTGTATAAAAGTGGAGATGTTTACACAGACTGTAAAGACACTGCAGGGCTGCCCCACAGCTGTCTGTGGTTCCGAGTGAATCCTTCTGATTTTGATGAATAGACAGACTGGAGGAGTTTTTATGAAACACGTCTGATATTTGTTTTAACTCTGTGAACATCAGGATGTTTCAGTGTGTTTTAAAGAGGTAGTGCTCTGAACCACATGACAGTATTAACAGTTTAAGCAGGTGACAACAAAGGTAATGTGTGTATTTATTACTTTATTTATTTGAAATAGAATGTAAGTTTTTTTATATATATATTCTTATCCTCACTGCCACTTTGCAAACCCTCAACCAAGAGTTGAGCCCTGAACTGGTCATCTTCTTGCTGTAGGACATGAACTCTGCCGTGCTACAGTGTGGACTCTATGAATCCATCCATGCATATATGCTAACATGTCATGAAACACTTGAGAGCTCTTACTCATACAGTATGATCATCTGTGACTCCAACTCCCAGATCAAAAATCTACAACAGTAGCTGAAATACCACAAAGGCTTAGAGAAGCTCCTCCCTGAATGTGAGAGGAACTGCGGTAACAACAAACAGAAAGTCTTCCAACAAATGCTCCTCCCTGAATGTGAGAGGAACAGCGGTAACAACAAACAGAAAGTCTTCCAAAAGTTAGCCAACAGATGACATCACATGCTGTGGCCTTATCCCTGAAGTATCAGTCAAACAGACAAAAGGAAATGCTGAATATTCCTTGAACCACACTGATCAAGTGACTGTAAAATTGCAGCATTTTGGACGTGCACTGAGGTGGTGTTCTTCTCTGTTCCAGAATGCAGATTTGGAAAGAACACCATATTTTCATCAGAACCTCAGAGCTCAGAGGCAAACTTATGTATGTAGGACAGCATATTTAACTTTGGGGGGAACTTCAAGCTTTCCCCTGCACTGTTCTCCAGGGAAGCTGTCTATTTATGGGGCTGCTGCTGCTGCTGCCGCTGCTGCTGCTGTTTGTAGTGGCACTTTTCTGCCCTGTAATTGTGCTCAGACTACTAGAACACATCTTTGTTCACAAACTGCATTAACTTTTCTGCATCTACAATGTCGCCGTTATGAAAAAAGTAGCATGTGGTTGATGAAAATTTAACCTAGCCCATATATTTTATGTAAAAAAAAAAAGAAGGTTTTCAGTTGAGGGTTATTTTGGTATTTTGGAGGAAGAAATATGTTAAGGTCATGGTAATTAGAGTGGTTTTGGACAGTTGCTGCTTTGTCTGTGGCCAGCAACCCCCCCCCCCCCCAATAATGGAACTGAAGATCCTGTGATGTCAGACCACAGCATTATGTAAAATTCTTCATGGAATCTCTGAGATCACGGCATCTGGCATACAAAATAGTGGCCATTTGGTGATGGTGGATCACAGATGGTGTGTTCACGTGGAGTCACACCATCAACATGCCAAAAGAAATGGTTGGCAATCCTAAAAAGTACCAAATACAGTAAGCCTGTTATAAAAATAATGATACATTCAGGATGTGCTGTTTTACATCAACATTGCAAACTATTCATGGGTAATACAATAAAAAAAACAAGATTAGACCTTGGCCATTAACAATAATATGGCTCAAAATTAACAGCATTTATCCTGTAAAAAAAAGTCTGGTTTGTTTATTTATATATACAGATAGGACTTTAACCTCCTACTGGTCATTTACTGGTTGATAGGTTGACGATTTTTTTTTCTGCTTGTTTATTTTTGGTGTGTTAATGTAATCAGGAGGAAAGTACCAAGTGCTAACGAGCACCCCATTTCACAGATAACTAGCTGTGTTGAGAACACCCCCCGTGTTTTGACTATTTTGGATTAGCCCAACCTACAGGCAGATTTTAATGACGATGATGTAGTAGGCCGGTGGTTTTCCAAGTGTTCTTTTATTTTTGAGGGTTTTATTTACAGTTATCATGTCAATGGCAGCCAGAGTGTGACAGTATTTTACAAAAATAGAGAACGTGAATAAGTCAAATGAAAAGTTTGCTATCAACGGTCGACTACAAACTTGGCATGTCACCTGAAAACGGTAAGCTAACTTCTCTGTGTCATGTTGCTCCGTCTTTTTGGCTATATGAACATATCAGAATTAGCTTATTTCAGTGTTTTAGTCAAATAATCGTTTTATAACCGCAGTACCCCTCAGATACATCCAGATCACGCTGGATGATAATCCACTTCTATCATCCAAACGCTTTATTTTTCAACGTATTTTGTTTCTGTACTCGTCTTACTCTAGTTTGTGTGTTTTTTTTCTTAATGTGGATTTGCCTTTTGTGTTTAAGAGTAAAAGTTTTAAGTTAATAATCTATTTGTATCACAGTCTATTTAGGTTAATAGTCTACAGTATTTAGTTTTACATTTTGACTTGTCCCCAGATTTCCACTGTACAACAACATTGTACAGTTAACATTATGTTAACATTAATTTTGACTTAGAGTTAAAATGATCTCATGGCTTTTGGTTTCCCTCTGCATATTCTTGGAAAAAATGATCTGATTTCTTAGTAGACATGTGTGGAAAATATGTATAATAAATTATTTTTAACACTAGTTGAATATATGGGTGTGTTCACAGGAGAATGTATCACTGGCAGACATCCTCTCACTGCGGGACAGTTGCTTGTCGGAGGAGGAGGTATTGGCCGTCTGTGTGGAGTGTGTTCTGGCCCTGCAGAGCATCAGGCCCTCCCATCTCTTCCACAGCCTGTGTATAACTCCAGACACTCTGGCCTTCAATGCCCACGGGAACGTTTGCTTCATGGAGCAGCTGAGTGGTGAGTCCACTTCACACACAGTCACATGTACGTACTGTCACGACGCTATGTTTAAAGTTCTGTTTCAACATGTACTGTGTAGCTAGACGTCAGTGGACATTATCAATATGCCTAAGTAACAGGTAATAGGATCCAGCTCAGTCAGCGTTGTCTTACTTATGGTAAATGCAGTCAAGACAATAGCGCTCAGGGGACTGATATAGAGAATGGGGTTTTAATCTAATACAAGTGCATAGCAACATAAATGCCTTTTTAAAGGGCACCACTAGATGTCTAAGCAAAGTAGAGAGGAAAATATAAAATCATATATTCATGTATACATCATGTACCTTAGGTAAATCCTGACAAACACGTTAAAGTTTATCTGAAGAAAAGAAGCCAACAACTGAACAGACATTACAGCTGTTACCATAGCCCTAGTTTCAAAAAGGTGGGTCCATCGTTGCATTCCATAAATAAAATAGTTCATCTTTACCTACCTAGCTCTGCAGAGCCACCCTATTGTTTCACTTTGGAAGCCACTGTATAAGAAATCTAACTTGATCTTGGATTATTATTTTTTTTTTTTTTTGGACTGCTGAACCTTTGACAGTTACTTAGAGGGTTTGTTTTGTGTGTTGACAAAAAATTTTGATTCAGTTTGTCCTGAGAACAAAAAATAGACCTTTATAAAAAAATAAAAAAACCTGGAGTGCCAGCTTGAGACTTAACTTTAGAAAAACTGCATGTTTTTCTTGTCTCCTCCTTTGTTGCCCTGATCTAATTCAGATTGTAGGTCTAGGGTTTGAAACCCCTAACATTGCCTCCCTGGGTCTGTCAGCTTTTCACAAACAGTAGACATTTTTCCTAAAAAAATAAATAAAAATCGAATTCTGCTCCTTATTTAGTCTCCAGACTTTCTGTAAGTCGTCCCTTTTCTATTCTCAGCTCACATTGTCACACTGTTATATTGTCAATTACACAGACAGATACACACAGGCACACAAACACACACTCGGTTCCTCACACCCCATCAGTGCGATAATGCCTGCAGTTCTCTGAATTCTCCTCTGTCACTCTCATGCACGCACACACACGCTAACGTAGCACACCCAGCATGACATTGTTTAATGTGCTGTATTATTTTTGTATCTCTATATCTACAAACGAGCTGTGGAGTAATCATGGGATTGATTACTCTGTCAGACACCTTTCATATTTGTCGTCATGGTTTATTGGACCGCATTCAGTCCTTTTGGCTGTGATTCATCCTGTGCAGAGAGAAGGCTTCACTGCCCACATCGTGTAGACTGTTCATGCATAACGCAGTGAATCTACATCATCAATCAAATCACTACAAATGCTGCTTTACTCGCTTCACTGTTTTCTATTGATTTCAGCTAATTAAGCCTTCTCTGTCACACTATGAAAATGTCCAACTGACATATACATCGAGCGGCAGTTGTCAGCCCACTACACAAACTCTGTCTCTGGAGTGACCTTGAGCGCAGTAGTGATGGATATCAATGAGAACAGTTGTTGCCATAACAACCTGTCAATAAAGCCATTTCAGCTCATTAATTACTCCAGGGATGATAAGAAGGTAGTCATATGTGACTACGTGGAGTCTTGTTTTTTTATTTAAAGGCTGGTTCTGAGTCGCCCATCAGAAGAGATGAACTATCCATTTGTAATACAGCACATTCAAACAGTGTGTTTGGGGAGTGCACTGAACACTCACTGCTCAGCCGACTCTACCTGTTGTTCTGTGATTCTACATTTACACATGACTCACCATCACCATGGTGCTAACAGCGTCAGTCACATCATCTATCATCACTGGATTATTCTTCTCAACCATTTGTTCTTTAGTCATTTTACCTGGTCCTTCTTTAGACTGTTCAATTTAATAACAGAAGAAATGCAATGGTTAAAATTGTTTTGGGGAAAAAAAATAGTGAAGGTAAGGAATCAGAATAAAGGGAAGGTAGAGAAGTGGGACCAGTTAAGAGTTTACTTTGAGCAGATAAATGTTATCTTGATAGGCTAAAGGAAACATAAAATATTAAGGAACAGGGATGTATAAATACAAAGTAATATATGAAGAGAGAAGACTAGAAAGGAGAGCAGCCCCTCTTTACACCTGGGAGGGCAGATCCTGGGTTCTTTAAAGAAACCCAGATCTGTCATGACCCACTTTACTGGTTTCTTTCCTATCCCTCCTTCTGCCTTCATTCCCTTGGGCTCCAACTCCAGCCTGGGTCCAGCATTTTTTTTGTTAGTCATCCTTGTACCGAGACTGAACTTTGACCTTTATAAGGAGGAGGAGGAGGTTATTGCTCCTCCATGGCTGCTCCAGCATCTGCTCCACTGATAGCAGCTGTCTGATTGGTCGGGGATTACTGAACTGTCTGTGACATGTGAATTATGCAAATAACCGCTGTATTATCTCACGAGACCGCAGCTACAGGGCTACATGTTGGTCTTATTTACATCTCGTTTAATCAGCGTGTCAGGGTATTATTGTTATTATTAGAACAAAATATGTGGATTTACTTCAAACACGTACACATCAAACAACACGTGCACTGTTAGTACCCTCTTGGCAATACTACCGTGTGGATTTCAACTGTGTTTTCTTGACCTGCAGATGATCCCGAAGGTTCCTTTGTGCCTCCTGAGTTTGACAACACAGGGAGTACGTTTGAGGTGAGACATCTCCGATCTGCCTGTAGATTGCAGTCGGCACTAGTCACGAAGAGTTGGCTGCGTTCAAAGGTGCAGAAAAGTTTCTTATTAAACTCGGGTGACATTGACTGACTTGGTAATATGTGTCCTTGTGTATATATACGCCTCAATAAAAGTGACTTAAGTCTCCTGGACAGTGAACATGTCTCTAACATCCTGAAAATCACATTTGTTTTTTACTAATGTAGGTACTGTAGTACTGTAGTGTATTTTCAGTATCATACCGGCAGCAGTGATGGTTCTGACTTTTTACCAACTCTGATGATTTCCTTTTTGATTGTCCTGTGTTTTTTTCCACCACACACTGAGTGAAAACACTCTTGTAACTTCTTTATGATCCAAACTGAACAGCGTTCTTTCTTTCTTTTTCTTCACAAACACGTCCTTCTCCTTTGACTTCTCTCTGTTTTCTCAAGTGTGTGGTTGTAACATAGAGGTTCTGCGCGGTCACAGAAACCACAAAGGCAACATAGTCAAATGCAGCTGAGAATTTACTTTTCCATTTTAGTGACACACACCAGGATCTGCCCTGCACATGGTTACGGCCCACTCCTGACGTTAACAGTGATCATTACGTCTGTGATGTGGACACAAAAGAACCTGCCTCAAATCTGCTGCTGGCGTGGAGCTGACCATAATATCCACTGTCTGTGGAGGAAAAGAAAAACAAAAGCTCTTTCAGAAATACACCCAGAACCGTACAATTACAGCTCACAACAGAGGGAGACTTCTGTTTCTCTGTCTCATCTTATCACTTTATCGTTCTTCGTAGAGTGAATCTGTTTTGTTCTTCTCTCTCAGGGTCATATTTTCTCTCTGGGATCAACCCTTTTCGCTGCACTGAACTTCGTCATTGAGCCAGAACTGGAGGTTGAGATCGGAGAGGAGATTCAGAAGCTGTTGGAACAGATGCAGGACGAAAAGCCCGAGGACAGGCCGCTGCTGCAGGTTGAACATCGTGGATTCTGTTTGTTTTTGTTTTAGCAGTTGTTGGCAGTTGTTTTATTGGCCACAATATGGGAAGTTCAATATGTAATTATAACATTTTTAGACTCTTTTTAGAAAGAGAATGTAGTAGTTTAGTAGTTGGTCCTGGTCCTTTAGCTGAATGCTCTGCTTTTACATGATTGGCAGAATAAATAAAATTTTCTAACTTGTCATTTTAAATTAACACAGTATATATACTGTATAAAACAGACACTTGAAAACTTTCTAACTACATTATCGCTGCAAATAATCGTCAAATTGCAGTTTTTTTTTTATTATTTCCATGAGCTGATCCTGGGTTTGCCCCTCCCAACTTTTTCTTTGGCAACAGGTGAACAATTTAAAAAAAAGACAAATATAAACAGATTTAAAGTGACGAACACTCCTCTATATACTTTCAGTTCTCCATTTAAAACAAATTGGGTTATTGTGTATGTACTGTATCAGTGTAGATTAGATTACATTAAATTGGATTAAACTTTATTGATTCCACACTCTTCCATCATGTTGCAGCAGCAAAATGAGATGGGTAGACAGCACAAAAAATAACACAATAAAACGAAGCTCCTTTGAAATTTTGCAGACATATACCTTCTATATTTACACAAGAAGGAAATGCTGTAATCTGCAATATAGCTGCACTTATTGAGTTTTTACATAGATGTAGATAGATGTTTTGTCATGGGTAAGTACATACTGTATATGGACTAAGTAAGAAATCTGCAAAGACTTTCTTTTGGTTTAACATTAATATACTAAAAGATCATAATATATAATTTACAAATGTATATATATATATTTATTTATAAATGTAAAATACAACTTCTATATATTAGTTTTACTTCACTTTGGGTTAATTGTAAAGCTGTGCACTGTTGTTGATGAGTGTTCTGCAGCACCATCTAGTGGTTGAAGCATTATAATGCCGGGAAGAGACGTGAAGTCGGCTGTACAACTCAGTCTTTCAAAGTATTAGTTTTACTAATTAACATAATAATCCATAACGCTATTATATTGGATACATACAAAAGACTGAGAATTTATAACAGTTTGCAAAGTCCAGTAAATGTGAGTTAATATATGTACTTTTGGTACATTTGTATCCAAAAATATTATTCTGAAGTCTACTACATTGATGAGGTATAAATTGTATTTCCTAATTACTAACACTTTTCCTCCTACAGGAGATCCTGTCTTTGGCTAAAGCACGGCTCTATGATGCGTCCTCCGCAGCCGTTTGTCGGAAACTCTCCTCCATCGGGCGTCGAGTGCTTTCTATTGAATCAGTTTCTCCATTTCAAGGTAACATTGTTACCATTGTAAACAAATGAATGAATGTCCTCTGCACTGCTGCTGAATTCAATGAAATATCCACAGATGGACAGGAAGGAACGTGGGAGGCAAGATGGCAGCATCAGGGACCCAGATGTGCATTTGAAAGACTGAGCTCTGACAAGAATAATAAAGACGTGTGTACTGACGGTTCTGATAAGACTAACTGTCTGTCCAGGCAGCAGGTATGTGACAGTGTGTCCACCCACTAACATTCTGGAGGACAAATGACACGAATGAAAAAACACATGGAAGTCAATGCTGATGCTTCCATCATTTACATGGGCTTCACCTCCAGAAAAACATGTATTTTTACTTCATCACATATTGATTTTAAAATTATAATTCTGCTTCTAACAGTGTGTTTCCAATGAAATGTTTGACATATATATATAATAATGATAATAATAATAGAAGACAGTAAAGTATTTGTTGTAGTATTTTGTAATTTGATAGATAGATAGATGTAAATAAGAAATGAGACCTTTTTTTTTTTTTTTTTTACTCTACAGCAGTTTTAGTGCCAACATTTTGAGCTTGCCTACTATAGGTATAAGAACAAAAGTGCTTAATGTGCATTTTTGGATTTCTCTAAACAGTAATTTATGTGTTTTGGTGGAAGGATAGGATCGTTTCTGCATTAGACAAGCAAAAACAAAACAGTTGTTTTGTGCTGAATGCTAAGAATTTCTTCTGCAGGTCTGCAGAGGCTGGGATTCCTCCCTCTGGTCTGAGGATATGGAAGAAGACGGTCTGAGCTTGGCAGATGAAATGGACTGCAGGTCCCACAACAGCTCCCCAGTGAGGAGGAGAGCCCAGCAGAGATTAACTAGAGTTAAGGGGGCTCTTAACCGCTCCTGCTCAGTTCCAGACTCCAACAACCCCCCCAGTCTTTCCACTCCAACCCATGGAAACATCAGTATACCGATATCCGACCTCACTGAGATAGGAGCAGATGATCACGTGAGCTCCACATCTGTTTGGAGCAACAGACTCCAAAGACTCAACCGGGGAAATTCATGTGACGCTTACACGCACAGTAGCACAGAGTATTACGAGAATTCAGTGGACAACCAAAGGTCACAAGTGCACCAGGGTTCCGACGAGACTTTATGCATTGAAGAAGAGAGCACACATGACGTCCTGCAAGGCGAAAGAAAAGACAGCACTCAGGATTTGGCGTCTCCCTGTTCTTCCTGCCAGGACCTGGAAATGGCACAAGAATCTCCTGAGAACCAGAGTCCAGTGAACCACAACCTCTACTTCACTAATAACCACATGACCAAAAGTATGCTGTGTCTGAATGAAGAATCTCAGGATGAGGTTAGCCTGCGGCACACCACTGTCACGTGTACTGTATGGCTTTAACAGATGCTTTCAGGGGTTTATTGGAATTCCATTTCCAGAGAGAAATTCCCAAGAGTTTGAAAAAGCCCTCCAAACTTGGCTTTGGTACTTTGCTTGAACTTTTATTGTACAGGTAGACAGACAAAAGAGAGAATTCCAGTGTTTCATTGGCTGTCCGAACTATATTTGAAGAACAAAGTAAATTTAACAAATATGGAAATGATGCCTTTAATAGGCTAACAATCCAAAACTGTTGGTAAATTTGAGTTTAAAAATTAGTATGTCGATTTTTTTAAGGGTTTGTCTTAATTAACGATTAAGACAAACTCATGAATGGAGATTAAACTAACGTGTGAGTTGTAAAACTAATTGTTGCTTTAGGATTAGCCCAATTTTGAAAAATAAAAATAAATAAAACACACTGAAGAACCAGACTGTAACTCTGCTGTCCCCTTTATGTCCATCCAGTGGATTTCTCTGAGAGAACTACTGAGTCGTTGTGGACGCAGGCTAACGGTGAACGAGCTGTGGGCTCTGTGTTACACGTGTCTGTCCTCACTGCAGACCTACATCGACTTTCCAGGTAATCTTAAATCACATTAACATTTAATATTAAATGTTAATATTTGATGTTTATTTTCTGATCCAGTCGTAATCTGTATTTTAGATCTGCCCTAAGAATACTTTGTTTTTAGTTTCAGATGCTCTATTACTTGAATGGTGAAAACAAATTGTGTCTAGTTCAAGTTATGGTGGACTTTTGGGTGCAGTTGACCGGGGCTACAGGCTACATTGGCAAAAATGTATAGATTTACTGTAGGACTTTTAGAGGAATTTAAATCTGTGTTCTTTCCCTTCTTTTTATGATGGATAATTCCTGTGGAAAAGATAGAGAAAGCAATAACTTGGCTGGGCTTTTGTTAATCACTGGTCTGTTCTTCTGATTTCTCTCTTTTCCGTCAGCCTATTTATGCCTGGACACGGTGTACGTGGGCTGTGAAGGAGAAGTTCTTTTCTTGAAACCTAAAAACATCGGTACGTTTGCTGCTGTTCTGGTCTTTGTGAAGCTTCTTTTTTAAAGCTCCTCACATCTCTGCTTCTTTTTTTACACACACTTTAAGGATTTTGCTGCAGCATAATAAAAAACATTTTTAACAGATCTTTTTTTTTTTTTTTTTTTTTAGGCCCCAGAGATGAATTCTATCTCGCCCCTGAGTATCAAGAACACGGCATTGTGACTGAAAAGGTTTCTTTGACCTGTGATCTTTTTAAAGAGCTTATTCTGTACTCTACTGTTGTAATCACTCCTTTTTTTATTCCTGTTGTGACTCAGGTCTGTGTGTACGCAGTCGCCGCCATTCTCTGGGCCACGGCCAAGTTCAGTTTGTCACCTACGCAAAAGCTGGCAATGCCTCGCAAACTGAAGAGGCTGCTGCTGGAAATGGCGAAGAGAACGCCAATCGAGCGACCCACCATCATTATGGCTAAGAAGGTAATATTCTTTGACCGTTTTTTTAAGAAGCGTCTCATCCAAATCCTTTTACATTTTTCTGACCACTAATGGCATTAAACTCACTGACTTCAGCACAAGGAATCATTTTCTTTTCTTTCCGATCCTTGGTCTGATACACGGCGAAAACTCTGCACGACCAAAGAGAATGTTTTTCTTCAAACTAAAAGCTGAGTCACATCTCGCTGCAAATTAAAAAAACAAAGTTAACATTCTATGTAGATGTTACAAAAGTATGTCAGATGGTCTGACAGAGCTGGGATTTCATTGTCAGTAATTAAATGAGCAGCATCCTGTTAGCTTTGGTGGGAAAAACAAGTGAATGAATTCACACATCACATTTTCTGAAAAGTTGGTAGACATCCTAAATCCAAAATGGCATCTGTAGTTTCTTAAACCACTTAAAAATGGATCATTGTTCTGGGCCTGAATGTTTGAAATTTTTATTTGATTATTTGTGATTAATCATATTTTCATGCTCAACATTTTTATATAATGTTGTTAAAATAATACTAAAATAATACTTTGCAGGTATTAAATATTCCTTCAGACTCACAGTAGTTAATTAGAACTTTTAACTCAATTATTACCAATCAATCATTATTTAAGAGATTTAAAATGAGGGCTTAGTTCCTTGATCAAAATTTTTATTTCAGCACCACTTTGTTAATATTCCTCTGTCGTCAGTCACTGGAGAAGAGATTTAATGAAACAGTTTTGATCTAAAATTATTTCTCTGTCTATGTGGCAGTGCCTCTGAATTGTTGCTACACTTTTTTTTCCCCACGGTTGTTTTTCCAGAGCTGTCGTGACTACCTGTTAGGTCAAGAGACAAGCGCTGAGACTGTGTGGAACGACCTCATCAGCAGAGTTCACCCGGTAAACTCTGTGTGGTCATCTGATGTCTTTGATGTTGTTATTTTTTTAGTTATTTGTTTTAACTTTTATACTTTCATTTCATTTCTTTTAGCCAGTCTCACAACCTAAAGGAGACGAGGACTTTAATTTGAGTGAAACGCATCACAGCTCATCTGAAGACTCCGAACAGAATGACAGCAGTAAGACAGCTTTACTGCAGTGCAAACGACCCTCATGCAATATCCATTACAAACATATGAAGACACACATTCAGATCAAAACAAGTCTGCTTTTAGATTCTAACATTAATGATCCAAGATGATCCCAGTGTCACTTTTACTGATGAAGGCCTTGTACATTTTACACACTTTGTGTAATTTACTAATGTGTATTGCATGAGACAATATCGCTGATATTGTGTGTGGCCCTGTTGTAACTGTGTGTAGGCTTCGTGCCCATGGCCACTGAGAGCCGACTGGCTCCTGTGCCTGGCCCTGTCCCCTACAGCTATCCCGTTAGCACGAGGCTTCAACTCCCAGAAGCCTTCACTTCAACCGCTACGCACTTCGTCCCTATTGTCCTGACCAATAAAGGAGACTCAGAGAAGGAGGGACAGAACATTGAAGCTGTCTTTCAGGGGTAAGACGTCAAAACAAGACATCTAGCAACAATTTTTATTGTTGCTAGACGTTATGGAAACAGGTAGAAAACATTTTAAATGATTTAAATTTTCTTTGGCAAAACAAAAGTTTTTCGACTAGGGCTGTCAAAATTAAGACATATTGTGTATTTAGGACTTATCTTTTCTATATTAATAACCCTGTAAATAATTAGATGAAATTATGTAAACATTAAACAGCCATAGTTTAGACCAGGAGTCTCAAACTCCTGGCCCACAGGCCATTTTCAGCCCACAAACCACCATCCTGCAACTAGATGTCAGTATAATGTAATATGTCTCCTTTCTGTATGTTTTTGGCCCCTTCTTGAGGGGGCGGGGGCAACAGTAACCCCCGGCTTATTTGAGTTTGAGACCCCTGGTTTTGACATTACGACAGAACTAAGTAAAAAATAATATTAAAAATTATTTTTCTGAACAAATGTGAAGTAAATGAATCCACCCACATAGTCACACTCCATCCAGTCCTACAATTCTGGCTTTGTTAACTACCGTTGCATAATTTCACACCATGGATATCTACACACACTCACACCAGCGTTCGAAAAAAAATTTAAAAACAGAAATGTTGCACATTTGATTAGAATAAATGCATCTGATTTTGTAAATTACCTCTTAATCCATTAATTTAAAAAAATACAGCTGCAAACCTCCTGTTTATTTACTTCTTACAGAATTACTAGTACTTACTAACTGTAATAATTAACTTTTTTTTAAAGAAAAAATCAATAATCACTTCAGAACAGTTACAGATTTCAAAACATCTGTGAAACAGAACTGAGTGCTTATCAGGGATCGTTTGTTTGGTTTTCAGCGATGAGGAGGAATTCACAACACTCAATAATGAAGTTGCGCTCCCTGAGTGTCCCCGTCCTGTCCAGGCTGAAACAAACCTTCACACAGAGGAGCCTCTTGTGAATTTCTCACTCAAAACCTTAACTTCAACCTCTTCCAGCAACAACACACCGGCCAGTTCTTGTCTTACTGTGCCGGACATTGCCTCTGTTGAAGTGTCACTTCCATCATCGTCCACTGGCTTCAGTGGTGGTGCCATCTTCAACAATTACCTCTTTTGTCAAGACCCAGAAACCGGACATCTTTCTTTAGTGCCTGTTCAGGTCAGGGCTCCGGAGTCCTTCCTGGGGTTGGACATTAATCTGTCCCTGGTCCCACAGCCTTTTCAAGGACTAATCACAGTTCCAGAGAAGACTGAAGCTCCATTGGTCAATGTGCCAACGGGGCCTGTGAACACACACAGTGTGATCAGAGCCTTGAGTGGACAAACAAGACAGAATGAGAACCGGCCATCTGCAGCGTCCCTCTCCAACGTCCACCCTGCATTACAGGACGTCATCAACCTGCTCAAAGGAGAGTTTTCTTTTAAAGGATATTTCAGTGATGGACAAGAGGACGTTGCAGTGGGTATGTGTATGTTATTGCAGTGGTACACAGCTTTTTTAAATAGTTTTATTTATGTAAAATATGCAGGAATTTAGCTTCATAATAAAACAAAGTTATATTTATTTATTTTTTACTTCCCTGCTATAAATGCAGTTTATAGGCTGTACTGCTGTTGATGAACTTGTACATACATTTCTTTCTTTTCTTCCTCATCTTCCTGTTCTTCATATCATTATTATTGTCATTATTAATAATGGTATAATTATTTTCAATTTTGTTATAATTATTATTTCTGTAATTTTCTGATTCTTTGTAGTTTGGCAGGTCCTTCAAACAACTTAAACACTGAGTGAGATGTACAGGTGGTGCAGCGCAGTCTTACACAGTCAGTTCGGTGGTGTAGTGGTTAGCACGCCTCCCTCGGAAGTAGAGAGCTGAGAGTCCTGGGTCCCAGAGGAACCCCATGCGAGGGGCACCCCATATCTGCTGCTAACACAAAAACTTCCCAAATATGCCATTAATATTCTATTTATCTTTTTTTACACTAGAGGGAGCTGTTTGGTGATTTCACATGTAAACGAGTCCACGTGCCTCCGCTGCCTCCTTATCCCACTATGACGCCCAGGATACATTGAGCCTCCGCTGCCTCTTTATCCCACTATGACGCCCAGGATACATGTGACAGTCTTATATACTGCACTGGACTTATTTCTCCATGTCTTGTGCTTCCCAGTGTTTAAATAAGTCAATGGCACGATGTGCTAAAGAAAGATTTCAAGGAGGTTAATTATTCCTTCCATCGTACACGGTGAGCTGATGAGATGCCCCCAGGTGGAGAGGAACATAAAGCCTTCTTCTGTCTGCCACATTCACCGTGACCATTGACGTCAGTGTACAGCAGAGTAGATGTCGTTTTACCAAGTACCATACCATACCATACCATAGTTCTTTTGAGCTGGGTCATTGGGAAAATGTGGCCTGATGCAGTATTTTTGCTCTGAATTGTTTCTATCAACTCACACGTAACTTTTTGTTGTTGTTTTTTTCCATGAAGGGGAGTACGTCTTTTCTTTGAAGGACCTGGAGTACGAAACGTTTGCTGGGGTTGTGAAGG